ACTGTGCATTGTGTGTGTGGGGGGGACATTTTCCTGTCTGTAACAGGGTGTGACATGCACTGTGCACTGTGTGTGTGTGTATGAAGGGTGTCCTCCTGTCCATAAATAGGGGGATATATATACACACATACATATATACATGCATGTTATTTGCTTTTATTTTTGCTTGTGCACAGGCTGTTTCTGGAATGATCTAGAAGACACAGAAGAAGTAACTGGCTTCACACAGGAAGTTCTGTGGCTGGGTGAACAAGCAGGACAAGGTGGGATTTTACTTATTTATTTTTTATTTTAAAATTCGAACCAAGTAAACACATTTAAATACCTTCAAATATTAAAATAGTCGGATTTTGAGAATGACGTCAGAGCTGCCTCTGCAGGAGCAGCCAAGGCCTCCCCCTCTCTCTAGGCCACAGTGGTCTGGGCTCAACACCAGCCCATCAGGTGAGAAGCAGAGAAGCCGCTGGGTGGGTGCAGGCCGCTCAGGGACCTGGCTCACTCTCCCGGCTTCGCAGCTTCAGGGGCTGGGTGGGGCTGTCACCCCAGGGGCCAGGTTCCAGGGCCCCATTCGAGACGCACCCCACCACACGCACAGGCAAGCACACCTTCCGGGGTGTCAGCCGTATGGAGCCTTAGGCTGCTTCCGAGCGGAGCCCATGACCCTTGGTTCCTTTAGAAAAAGGAATGATTTTTCTTATCCCAGGCCCCTCTTTCCTAAAGTGGAGCAGAGAGCGGTGCCCTCACCCATGTTCCACGCAGGCTGGTATTTGCTCACCAGACGGAGGCCGCCTCTGCAGCCGGCCCGGGGAGCTCTAGAGGAAGGTTGTTGGGGCTGGTGCTTCCCACAGCGCGGAGCCCTGGCCTTGGGGTGCTAGGCAGAGGTGGGGGTGCCGTTCCAGGCTGCCGGCCTGGCTCTGAGTCAGCCCCAGGGAGGGGCAGGGAGTCGCCCATGGCTCGGTAAGGGAGGCCCCACTCCAGGCCGTCACATTCAGTGTAGCCTAAAGCTGCGACTTTACGTATTTTAAGTTCGGCCCAGAGGTTTTTCTGCACATCCTGAACTAAATGGAGCTGTACACAGACCGTGGCCCACCCTTGTGCCCGTCACCGAGATTTGGCTGATCAGGTGCAGAACCCTGTTAAAATAAGGCATACGCGGCTGTGGACAACCTGGCTGTCCCTCACTTCCATTTCCGTCTGTCCCTTTCCTTTCCTGTCCATAAAGCTTCCTCCCCCATGCTGCTGTGCTGGAGGCCTGAGAGACCCTGGGCTGGGAAGGCTGCAAGATGATGGCTCAGTTAAACTCTGTGAAACTTAATTTTCCTGAAGTTTCTCTTTGATCCAGGACTTTGACCGTGGGGTCAGACACCCCAGACAGAGCCCTGGGGCCCCCGCACAGGCTGTTTCGGGTTGGGAAGGAGCTGGTGACCCCGGCCCATCATTCCGCCTGTGCCAGCTCCTCCCAGGGCCCCCAGGACAGGCTCTGCGGGTCGTTCTTTGTAACATCAGGTTCCAGGTCCACCTGCTGCAGCTCCTGACTCCACGAGTCTGAGCCATGGGGTTCCTGGTGTCCTATAGGCGCCTTTAGTGACAATTGGTGAGCCCCCTCTTGCCCACGGTCTCCCCGGTCCACACAGAGTGTGTCTGTTGTGCGTGGCGCCTGCATGCATGGCGGGCAACCTGGTGCCTGGGCCCGTGTCCTCTGGGCCAGTCAGTGTGGAGTGTCAGGTGTGTTTCGTCCACACCCTTCTTCCTCCCCGCACTGCGAGTATCTGGATACATTAGGGGCCTCACTGCGGAATTTGTCACAGGAGCTGCGGAGCTATGAATCAGGCACTTGATCAAAGTGAAGTAAATTCTGTTTAAAATCATAGCGTGTGGCCATGGGCACTGCAGCCCACCCAGGCGCACTTCCAGGAGAAGCCCACGCCTGACTGCTTTGTCTGTTTCTCTTCAGCAGCCGTGGAAAAGAGCTGTTTGCCTCCTGTGTTTTCTTTTCTTCTAGCTGCGAAAACGGGAGCCCAGGATGTTCTTGAACAAGGTGGAATCACCCCAAATAAAATGCCTCCTGCTGGTAAAAGTCCGAGAACGCCCGCTTCGCATTTCCAGGCTCCGGGATAGCCATGCGTCTGCGAATTCTACGACAGAGCCAGTTCCCGCTGGGAGCTGATCCATTTTGTCTAAAGCACCAGCTTTTTTGAGCAACAAGCTAAAACCAAGGTTTTTCAGATGGTTTGCCTCCCACAAAGGCAAAATAACCCATGGGGGATCATTTGACAGCTCCACACCTGGGCCCCGGGACAGGAAGAGGCAGCCAGGCCTTCCTTCCACTGTGGCTTGTCTCCTGCCTTTCCCACCACAGACCTCACTCCATTCAGTATGTGCCAAGGCCCTGGCTTCAGCATCCCTCACACCCCTCAGAGCCCAGCCCTACTCCGCTTCCCAGTCGCCAGGCTGCCTGGAGCACAGAGCCTCTCCCCACCAATTCTTCCCTTGAGACCGCATCTTCTCCGAGGCTCTGGAGGGGCACACGCCCACCTCAACCTCCTCACTTGTTCACGTGCAACTGGAAGCTTGACGAGCGTGATCAGCCAGAGATCTGAATCACCAGAATGTCTGTCTGCATTCTCTTTCAGGCTCTGCAAAATGCTAAGCCTTCAACTGTTTTAAAGTTTAAATCCTCTCACTGGTAAGTGAATAATTATCCTAAAAAGTAGACTCTTCTGGAAGAAAGGTCACTAAAAGGGTTATTTCCATTAAAAATACATTTGTGTTTCTTGAGATGTGTTAAGTGGCCTTTGTCAAGGTGCTTGTAATAGAGGAGCACATAAAGATGAATTTGTCTGGAGACGCAGCGTACTTCAAAGATTTGTCA